TTCGATTGAATTGCCTTTATTTTACAAATTAGAAAAAAAATTGTAATTAAATTTTTTATTTGGTATTAAGAAGCGCTTAATTTACCGTAGGCAGATTTTTTATTCAACGTTTCGTTTCTGGAGGGCCACCATCAAGTATATTTTTTTGAATACGGACCTGTATTTTTAAAAAAATCTGATGTGTCCAACACATGACTTTCCTATCTTGTTATTATAGGCTTACGGTTATTTTGTACAACCTATTGTAACACCTCTATAAATGTTTATTTACTTTTCTCCTAACTTTCATATTTTAAACTAATTATTTAGACATAACTATAATAACGTTCGTCTATTAGTTTCAATTACCTATTAATAAATTAATATTAAAAATCAGAATTTTGCACATTTTGTCAAATTTCTCGAATACGGACCATTTCAGGAAATTTTGACATAAAACAAAAATTATTGATAATAATATTAGAAGTAACTTTTAATTGAACAATTTTCTTCTCCAAACGTAAATAACAGATATATTCCATAAAATATAAAAATGAGCACCTATAAAGTACCCCCCCAGATGTTCCGACTCTGCCCAAAATCTAATCAGTTCATTGGACGCTGAAACAAAGCTTAAGTTTAAAATTTGGTGTTTTTCTGTGTATCGGTTCATGAGTTATGCGTTATACAGACAGACAGACAGACAGACAGACAGACAGACAGACAGACAGACAGACAGACAGACAGACAGACAGACAGACAGACAGACAGACAGACAGACAGACAGACAGACAGACAGACAGACAGACAGACAGACAGACAGACAGACAGACAGACAGACAGACAGACAGACAGACAGACAGACAGACAGACAGACAGACAGACAGACAGACAGACAGACAGACAGACAGACAGACAGACAGACAGACAGACAGACAGACAGACAGACAGACAGACAGACAGACAGACAGACAGACAGACAGACAGACAGACAGACAGACAGACAGACAGACAGACAGACAGACAGACAGACAGACAGACAGACAGACAGACAGACAGACAGACAGACAAACAGACAGACAGACAGACAGACAAAACTACACTCCCAAAATTATTTTTAAATTAATCGCCGTTTCGTTACATTTGCTTCCTTTTCAGAAATGTAATAGCAATCCTACCCGAGTCATACCTGTTGTGTTAAAGAGGACTGGCGGTTAATGAGGAGTATTTTTTTTTCCATTTAACATACCGTAGTTCATCAAGGTAGTTTTGTCTGTCCAAAGAATATTACTGTAGACTGGTCTATTACTATTTAGGCAAGTAACAAACAAAACAAATATTTTAGAGTGATCTAATAATATTTACACAAACAAACAAAATTACAAAAATTGCTCAAATTGGCCACCATTATTTTCAGCACTAAGTCGTGTTCTTTTACATATATGTTTCGCTGCCCTGGCAATCATGTGTGGATTAATTTCGTTGAATGCTTGATTAACTTTTACTCGTAATTCAATGATATTTTCAGATTCATTATAATGTACTTCTATAAATTGGTCTTCTATACTATTTCTATGGTAGTAGTGCTTATTTTTTCTGTTAAATATTCCACAATTTGTAAAAAAAGTAGTTTCATCTGTCCATAGAATATTTTTGTAGAATGATCTATTATTATTCAATTTTCGTCGAAACCAGTTACAGAAAGTTATCCTACGGACAGCATCTTTTCTGTGTAATTTTTGTACTGTGTGTGGTATCTGTAATCGTGATATTTATATTTTTTCAATATTTTTTAGACGCCCGCTTTCGATATCCCGCATTGTGTTGCAATGTCCTTTGTTGAATATTGGGGATTTACATTTACTAATGCCAATACCGTTATCCAATACATTTATATCGTTTACAGTTCCTCTTCTGTTATGTTTTTTATTTAATTTAAAGACAGTCATTTAAATTTTAGTTACCGCATAAATAGTATTTCTTATTTGATGATTCCTATCTGTATATAAAATGGCGTATGCCTGAACTGCTACATCAACATTTCTGGTATGTTTAATAAAAATATCGTACATGCCTTTTTCTTCTTCTGCAGAATAACGGACCATAACGAGAAATTTATTAATTAAATAAATTTTGTAAAGTCAAAACACTTTAAAGAAAACACTGCCAAGAAATTAAATAAACTGACATTTGTAACATTTAATAAGCAATTGTATTCAAGACCTACTGGATGCAAATATAAAAAAAAGTAAGCATACATTCAAAAAAATAGAAAACATTTTGAACAATTTTTGTAAAATTGCTTATCGTTCCTTTTTGTTCTATTTTATACTGTGGTTTTTTCGTTATTTATTTAAATATTTATAGATTATAAAATCATTTTACAGTAATTCTTCAAATTTTACTTTTTTATTCCTCTCAATAAAAAATGATCACTCTAGATTAATAATACCTACATCCTCTATGGAAAGATGAAACTACCTTGACAAATTCTGGATTGTTAAATAGAAAAAAAATACTCCTCATTAACCGCGATCCCTATTTAACACAACCGGTATGGCTCAGGTACGATTGCTATTAAATTTCTGGTAAAGGAAGCAAATGTAACGAAACAACGATTAATTTAAAAATAATTTTAGGAGTGTAATTTTGGCAGTAATCTAAGTAAAAAAGTATAATAAAAAAATACAGGTGTGTATTAAAACAATAAAATTTATAGTGACCTTGCAATAGCAAAAATAAAAAGTATCAAAACGTCCTAAACTACTAATGTGTATTACACGGTTGAATTTATGATTAAATATACCTACTTTTATAAAATGAAAAATGCACGTTCCTATTCAAAAATATATACTTGATGCTGGCCCTCCAGAAACGAAACGATGTATAAAAAAATCTGTCTACGGCAAATTAAACGCTACTTAATACCAAATAAAAAATCTAATCACATTTTTTTTCTAATTTGTAAAATAAAGGAAATACAATCGAAAATCGAAAAGTCATTTGATTTTTCTTAAATATCTTGGAAACCGGTCCTGATGTTCTCGGTTTTAAAACATCACTTTAGTCTTGCAAAAGTACAACTTTTTTCCCATTTAACCGACTTTGTAACTCTTACGGTTTTCGAGATAGCAATACTGTTCAATATAAAAAGTAGCCAACCCTGTATATTAGGAAACTTAAGGTTGAAGAAGAACATCTATTTTTTAAAAATGACTTAAATTTAATAGTTGTTGATCTTTCTACTATTTGTGAGAGCATGACGCACCATGATCTTAATTTTTTTTAATAACAGTATCTAATCCAAATATAAATAACCATTTAAATGTTCGAACAATATCCTCCGCAATTATTAAATTTAATGATTGGAAGGCTCTGGAATTTTTAACGTTAAGAATTTTTTACGTGTCTCACGCACATAATAAACACTAACTTATTTTGTTGGCTTTGGAATTTTTGACGTTTAGAATTTTTTACGTTTTTGAAGCACATAATGAAACACTAACTTATTTTGTGGTTTGACGTTGAAAGTGTGACGGTATCTTTGTAAGGTAACTTTTTTTATTCGTTATTGAAAATGGGTCGCGGTAAAGCAAATCCAAAAAAAATTAGGGATTTTATCATACAAAAATATAAACATAAACATAAGTTTCCTAATAAATAGGTATCTGAAATAAAATTATGAAAAGGCCGAACAAATAATGGTTAGGGCTCGTATACATGAATGCCATCTATAAATAAAGATTTTTGAAATAGGTATATTGGTAGTGTTATTAGGTACATCTTGGGGATAGCTATCAAACAAATAAGACTGATTGCTTCATAGTAGTGATATTTGTTTACTACTTTACCTTCTACTTGAATTTGAATTTAGTTTATTGTTTTTGGTAACAAATTTGAAGTTTTCAAGAAGTGGTACATCTATAAATAGCCTACTACAAAATGAGCAAGAACCCGTTTTAATTTCAAATTGAAACCCTAACCCGTCGAAAGCGCTTTTGCCAAATTGACAAAAATCGAAAATACTAAGAAATTTCAAATATTTTTTCGTGTTGCCTTTATTAAAAAACTTAAATAGGTAGGAATTTTTTAAAATATTGTATTTATTTATTAAAACAAAAATCTTGCGACAACTTCGTCTTATCAAGACTAACTTTTTTGTAAAAAATTAGTTAATCTAAAATTTTAAGGCAATAAGAGATAGTTTAAAAAATATTTTAATATTTTCGTACCTACTACATAAAAATTGTAAAATCATTCATGAACTAAAATAAATAAATAAATAAATAAAATTCTTCTAATGTTTACCACTATGAAATTTCTACAAAATTCCCAACTTTTAACAGATAATAGGTATAAAACCGCAATTTCCGTCCGATTTAAACATGACATTAATGATTTAAATTATTAGCCAAATTTCAATAATTTAAAACACTACTTAGGTATATACCTATACAGCGATGTAGGTGTCTCCAATTCAGATCACATTATCATAAGGTGGGTTTTGGTATTTAATTAACCATAAACATTTTATTGCAAAGAACCCAATAATGGGTATCCTAACCATATTTGGATAGGTGAAAACACGATCTACAAACAGCTGATTTTATTAAATTAATTTAAATAGACATTTTCAAACAATTACCTAGATCAATTCAAATGATGGGTTTAAAAATAATGTTTATTAATTCAAGTTCATAGCTATCAAAACAAATTAAACTGACTGTAAAATAACCTCATAAAATAATTATTTCGACAACGCCTACTTTTGCCAATTTTATAGATAGCCAAAGGAAATTGCTTAAATTTTTCTTGGAAGGTACCTAGGTAATCTAGCAACTCAAAGATAAGATAATACAAAGTAATAAGAAAGGTAGGGCCAATAAGTCGATTGACATGCGGAGAAACTAGGACAAGGATGGAAAATGCAGATAAAAAATATAATGTATTGTTGGTGACTAATTTCGCTAAAGATACAAAAATAATACAATTTCTTGGCAATATTAATTTAGGTAATTTACCTGTTGTGCAACTGGGTCCAAAATAGACTCGATTGTTTTTGTATGAAATACTGGCATTTTCACAACTTTGATTCGTTAAAAATAAATAAACAAAAATGTATACACTAAATTATAAAAACAACCTCAAATGAATTTGAACTTAAACTAATGTCGCGAACTTTACGGGTACATTAGATTTGAAGACGGTGATAATAAACATAAGAAAATCCAAGTTAAAAATAGATATTATAACCCTACCTTTGTTCAGCGCCATCTGTCATGTAAAAGACAAACAGAATGTTGTTCGATGTCATCTTAAATATTCCACTGGTCAGTGATCTTTATGTAAATATTTTCTGTAATATACCGGGGCTCGTTCGTAGGTAGACCAACAAATTGTAAACTTTAATTTTTTTTTAAATGATCGTAACAATTTCTAAGTAGAAAGATAGATATTAAAATTTTCTTTTTTAACATATTAGGAGTTGTAATTTAAATAAATTAACAAAATCATAAAAGATGACGGCAAAAGTAATATTAAAAAACAACGTGAACAATAAGTAAAATATGTACTTTTTAAAGTAAATATTACAAAACAATTACAATTACAATACTAATCAAAAAAATTTCAATTTAGTTTTACATTGATGAAGTTCTCTCTCATCCAAATATATAAAATCGTTTGTCCTGATTGACTGACTGACTAACGATCTATCATCTCACTAAGTCTAGAATGCTGAACATTTGGAAGTAGAGCAGTGGAGGTATATTTTTAAACGTAAGAACCCGCTAAGAAAGGATTTTTAGAAATTTAGAATTTTGAATCTTTAAATTGTGGACAATAGGGAGGGAAATGAGGGGCAACTCTGTATGAAAGTCTTTGTTAGAAAGTTAAAAACATGAAAATACAACTACTGAGCATATTAATGACGTGTTTCAGGGTTTTGGATTTTCACATTGTAAGGGGGGGGGGGGGGGGGTGAAAGTTTGTATGGAAAAATCAATTTTTTAAAGTATGGAACTTGAAAATTGAAATTGTACCTAGTAGCTAGTAGCTACTATTTCAGGGTTTTTGGATTTTCACACTTTAAGGAGGGGAAACGGAGGTAAAAATTTATATGGGATTATCGAAATTTTTTAAAGGTAGTAACTTGGAAATAAATGGAAATAAATGGAAATAAATAAATGGAAACAAATGGAAATAAATGGAAATAAATGGAAATAAATGGAAATAAATGGAAATAAATGGAAATAAATGGAAATAAATGGAAATAAATGGAAATAAATGGAAATAAATGGAAATAAATGGAAATAAATGGAAATAAATGGAAATAAATGGAAATAAATGGAAATAAATGGAAATAAATGGAAATAAATGGAAATAAATGGAAATAAATGGAAATAAATGGAAATAAATGGAAATAAATGGAAATAAATGGAAATAAATGGAAATAAATGGAAATAAATGGAAATAAATGGAAATAAATGGAAATAAATGGAAATAAATGGAAATAAATGGAAATAAATGGAAATAAATGGAAATAAATGGAAATAAATGGAAATAAATGGAAATAAATGGAAATAAATGGAAATAAATGGAAATAAATGGAAATAAATGGAAATAAATGGAAATAAATGGAAATAAATGGAAATAAATGGAAATAAATGGAAATAAATGGAAATAAATGGAAATAAATGGAAATAAATGGAAATAAATGGAAATAAATGGAAATAAATGGAAATAAATGGAAATAAATGGAAATAAATGGAAATAAATGGAAATAAATGGAAATAAATGGAAATAAATGGAAATAAATGGAAATAAATGGAAATAAATGGAAATAAATGGAAATAAATGGAAATAAATGGAAATAAATGGAAATAAATGGAAATAAATGGAAATAAATGGAAATAAATGGAAACAAATGGAAATAAATTGAAATAAATGGAAATAAATGGAAATAAATGGAAATAAATGGAAATAAATGGAAATAAATGGAAATAAATGGAAATAAATGGAAATAAATGGAAATAAATGGAAATAAATGGAAATAAATGGAAATAAATTGAAATAAATTGAAATAAATGGAAATAAATGGAAATAAATGGAAATAAATGGAAATAAATGGAAATAAATGGAAATAAATGGAAATAAATTGAAATAAATTGAAATAAATGGAAATAAATGGAAATAAATGGAAATAAATGGAAATAAATGAAAATAAATGGAAATAAATGGAAATAAATGAAAATACATGGAAATAAATGGAAATACATGGAAATAAATGGAAATAAATGGAAATAAATGGAAATAAATGGAAATAAATGGAAATAAATGGAAATAAATGGAAATAAATGGAAATAAATGGAAATAAATAAAAAAATATATTAAATAAATCAAAATAGTTGAATATAAATAAATAAAAATAGTTAAAAATAAATAATAAAAATAATTAGAAAACAAATATGTGAAACTTCTTAAGCCCTGGCATGAAAAATATGAGGAATGAATTGATAAAAACGACATATCTCGATGTCCCGACCCTCGACAGCCTAAGGGAGAACTGCATTCTGGTTATATTAGCAAATTAGAGCCGAACCAGAAATGTGGTATACAAAGAGATTCTTAATTAGATTACTATAATTAAATATTAGATTACTCTATTTAACTCTAACCTATAATACAATCACATGCATACGATGAACTAGCTCCTTTTTCTTGGACAGTCATGCATGTTCTTATATTAAAAACACTCCACTCCACGAGTGCAAAGCCGCTGGTAAGTATAAAAACATTTGTAATTGTTTGTGGTGGCAGGATTTAAATACAAATTATTGGCATTCCTTGTGTTGTGTTCATGGATATCGAACTGTTTATTTTTAAAAACCAAAACATATAAAGAAAGGTACACCTAGCTTTTGAAAAATTGGTCTACTTGACTCTGTCGGACATTCTCATTATACCTTCTGATTAATCGCATCCATTGAACTTCCTCAAAGACATACGCCCTACATGAGGCTTGATTTAACTCATGCATGGTAGATCTTAATCACCAACTAATGTTCAATAGATACGTGGAAAGATATGAAAATCATCATTTTTAAAACACCTATTGTAACAAGCTATTAGCACAGCTATTAGGTTAGGTTGGGTTGAAACCAGAGATAACCAGGAGATGTAACTACTAACAAATATCGTGCGGCCGTGAATAAGACATATTCTAAGGGACACAGTAGGACATAATATCCGCTGTTGTCATTGTTAGTAAAGTGTATGTATTAAAATATTCGCTCGAGAAAACGATTCACCTCCCACTCTTTTGTCACAAGGCTGAATTTTTCACAGATGAAAGGTCATGATAAGGTAACCCTTATTCCGGAGTTAATACAAAATTAGAGTGTGCAGAAGGGCATTATCATCAAAAATCCAGATATTGATACCACCGAATAGAGAAAAAAATATTAATTTTTTGATCAAATGCACAATAAAATCTTACTTAAAAAAAATCATTTGCATTAGCACTTACGGCCGAAAAAAATATAAACGTAAATATCTTGGTTTTAGCCCTTCAAAAATTTAGTTAAAAAGTCGTCTTTTTTAAATATACCACTCATTTAACAAAAAACGAAGGCCTAAATGAAAAAAAAAAACATTCTCTATAAAATTTTTGCTTATGTGTTGACAATGTAACAGAGTAAACACCATATTTTTTGCTTTTGAATTAACAAAGATATAACAATAAACGATAAGAGATGTCATAGGTTTATGCTGTTATTAATTCTCACCGCCAAATTTATCGACTCTCAGTGTATCTTTCTCTTCACCTTCAAACGTAGCATAGCTCTGTTTCTCTCTACGTGCCGGCTGATGTATCACATTATTGATATGGTAGGATTTTTCATTTTGTTTATTATAAAACTTCTCGTTATGTTCCATTGGGCAATGTGTCATATTGTTATCTGTTTTTACTAAAGAATTAATAAGTGTATGTGTTATATATTAAATTACCTAATAAATTGGGAAAAAATATAGACATTTCTGCATCTTTATTATGTCTACATTCATCCTGTTGCAGCTGAATATATTTGGGTAAGTTATAAGTTTTCGTTTAAAATTTTAATTACGGATTTGTTGCTGCAAGTAGCAAAGACAAAAATTATATCAAAATAGGAAAGCCCAAAAGTTGCATATCATTTAAAGAATATGCTCATATATTTGTAAACATTATTTTTAGAAATAAATTTAATGCTCAAATGATAGATGTGGTATTTGATCATTATAAAGGACATTCTATCAAAAATACAACACGTCAAAAGAGAGGATTTCAGAAATCAATTGGTACTTCCGCAACAATAGAACTTGTTTATTCATTCGATATTTAACAAAAGACGTTTAACACATTTTCTGCCAGAGCAACTTCTTCAAAACTCGCGAAAATCAATAAATATGGAAAGAATTTTGAACCATCAAAAGATGATATTTTAAATTCAAATCACGAAGACGCTAATAATCGTATCTTATTGCACATATTGTCAGCCAAAAATTCGGGGCATTCACGCTGCATTATTTATTGCAACGATACAGATGTCTTATTAATTTATTTTAAGAAGTTTTTGACTAAAGATATATGGTTCAGAACAAGGCGAGGAGACTCAAGACGATTTCTACAGTACAAATTTGGATGAAAACCTTCTAAAAAATGTACCTGCTTTTCATTATCTGACCGGTTGTAATACAACCAGCTAATTGTCCGGCATTGGGAAAAGAACCTGCTGGAAAACCTACCTTGAACACCATAACTTTTTGGATGGATTTGGCATTGATCAGTACTCTGAAAACATATTCTCTAATCTTGAAAGAATTTTAATAAAAATTTATTCAAAACTGCCAATGTTACTTCCATTAACATTTTGAGGGGATTATTGGCCTCTTCAAAAACCATCGCTAAATTGCGACCGACTGAAGACGCCCTAAGACTACATTGTTTAAGATGTTTTTACCAGCTAAATATTTGGCTAACCTCTTTAAATCCAGATGCAGCTTGCTAATAAGTAGATCAAGATGGAAGTCTGATACC